AGGTATTTTTTGCCAAAAACTCCTCCCTCTCTGGAAAAATCTCCCTAAGAAACTCCCTCCCTCCCGAGATCCAGGGCGTGCTCGTCCTCGCCGTCGTGGTCCACGGGATCCAGGACACCGGGGAAAGCAGCGGCGCAGCACGGCCCCTCGTCGCCGGCGACCCCAAGCCAGCAGCGCACCCGCGCGTACGACCCATCCGCTGCATCCTCCTCTGGCGGCCGTCCTACCACCGCCCGATGAGGACGCGGCATCACCGGCCGACGGTGACACGCCGCCCCCTTCCCCCTCTGGGCGCTGTGGCCATGGCTGACGACGACGAAAACCATAGGATTGGCGACGGCTGTGGCGCAGCAGCCGCTGGAGTCGTCATCGGAACTGGCGGGGTTGTACTGCCCGCAGGCGTCCCTGGGACAGGAGTGGACCACGAGGGTTGACCCGTGCACGGCCTGGGCGCAGGTTTGCGAGCACCACTGCCTCCTCGACAGACTCGTGCATGGCCTGGCGGTGACCGGCGACCCTGTGCTCGCGTTCCAGGTGGGTGACCGCGGGTGACCCCGACAGATCCAGGTGGGTGCTCGGGATGGCCGAGGAACTCCAGGCCATGGAGCTTCATCGCGCGGGGGAGGCCGGTCCAGAGGGGCAGGCGGATGCGTTCTTCCACCGGCGAGCTCGGGCTGCCACGAGGACGGCGGCGACGGACGGCTCTGCGGCGGGCCATGCTCGAGGTCTGAGCAACTAGCCAACGACGGCGAGCAAGCAGCAGGAGCGGCGCACAGCACGGGCGCATCCAAGCAGGAACCCTCGCCGGTGAGCTCCGCCGCCCCCGGGGCATCGGCGTGGACGACAGCGCACGAGCGCGGGATGGCCGGCGGCGGAATATGGCTGAGCTGGGTATGACAAGGGCCTAATTGCATTTTTGTTTTCAGATTGAAGGGTGCCTCTGTAAAAATACCAGGAACTGACAGTTATGACACATCATCAAATACAGGCCCCACATGTCATAATCACGGTTAAAATGTCCAAATAGACCGATCGGTGTTTCTTTTGCAAAAATTAGGCCAAAAATCAGTGGTTTCCGGCCCAAATTCGTATTTCTGCAAACCTATATGCTAATGTGGTGGTTTTCTGCAATTCACTCAAATATTTCCTCTGCTGCATGGATGCAAACTAACACTTCCCCTATATATTTCTAAACCAAAAAACATCTTATTTTTTGATATAGAGTGAGTATTGCATTTAGTTCTGAAACCAATGAAGGATTAAAACTAGCGCTTATGCTTCGGCACACCCCCTAAACACATGGACGACTTAGATTAACCCATCCAGCCACCGTCAGCAACGACTTGAACCAAGCACTTCCTGGTACAAAGTTTGACGCGATAACCAACCAGCCGCCGTCAGCTGTTGTGTTTACATACTTTTTTTTTATTCTGTTCTCTTTCCTCTTTCCTATTTCCTTTGTTATTATTCCTTGTCCCTTTTTGTCTAGTTTTTTGTTCGGCTTTTCTTTTTCTTTTTCCTTTTCCTTTTTCCTTTTCTTTTTATGCTCCTTTTTTGTTTTCCTTTTTATTTTGCAATGTGCAAACTTTTCAGTTTTGTTTTTTTAATTAATGATTTTTAATATTGATGATTTTTCTTTCCAAAGTCGATGAACTTTATTCAAAATCGATGAACTTCTTATTTCTAAATTAATGAACCTTTTTTAAAATGAATGATTATTTTCAAAGTAGATGAACATTTTTTTCAAAATCAATGGACTTTTTCCAAAATTTATAAACATTTTTCCAAAATCGATGAACTTCTTTTAAAATTCATGAAATTTTTCCAAATCCTTGAACCTTTCCCCCAAATTTTTAAAAGAATCAATTCTTGGTATTTTTAATTTGTGAACATTTTGCAAATCCGCTAACTTTTCAAATCCATGAACTTTTCCAAAAAGATGAAATGTTTTTCAAAGTCAACGATCAAAGGTCAAACATGTCAATGGTCAACTTTTCGTCCAGGTCAAATATGAAGAAGTTTTTTTTGTCGAACCACGAAGAAGCGATCGGGCGTATGCTCTTGACGAGCGACAGCTGATCGCTCGTGTAGTTGGGCCAGCCCATCAAAGGTGGCGTGCGACGCTGCGTCCGCTAACTAGCGCAGCAGGCGATGACTAGGTGCTCCCGTTGTATAGGGAGTAGCATAACACAAACCGGCGCACACACCCTTCCGTCTTGGGTCTGGTCCATTTTTCTTTTCTTTTTTTAACCTTCAAAAAATAGGTGTATGAAGTAGGATTCGAACTATGGACATCTTGGATTACTTTCACCCACTATAACTAAATAAGACAACTCACTTGTTGTGTCTTATTACTTCTTTTATTCTCTTTGTTGTGCATCTTCAGTCTGTTCTTTTTCTTTTGGTTGGCCTTTTCTTCTTCAGTTTATTTGTTTCTTCTTATTTTTCATTTTCTTAAATTCATGATTTTTCTCAATTCTATGAACTTATTTTAAGGGTCCCAAGAAACAACAAGCTCTCAGACGGTGCCTTCTGGCGTACTTTTAGACAGGTCGAAGGATGCCAGGTTTGAATCCTACTTTTAGACCCAAACAACATCTGTTGAACAAGTCTATTTTTAGACATCCTTCGAATGACCTAACTTTTGCAAGTGGGTGGGCATGCACATGGTAGGCATCTATGTCACGATTGAACGATTTTTGACATTGTATGCAAGTTGCAACATGCCCGAGTAGTTATTGGATTTTTTTACCGAGAAAACTTTAGAAAATGCAAAATTTGTTGTAAACCAAAACAACTTGGCATGGTGCCTTAAATTGGTCATACAAGGCCATGGGCAAAATCGGGGCCATTTCAAGGATGTCGAGAAACAACGTGCTTTGAACATGGTCTATTTTTGGATACACTTGAAATGACCCAACTTTGCAACCAGGTGGGCATGCCCATGGTAGGAATCCATGCCATGTTTGAACGATTTTTCGACACCATATGCAAGTTGCAACACGTCCGGTAATTTATCGCCCTTTTTTGACCAAGAAAACTCCAGAAACCGTAAAATTTGTAGAAAATCAGAAAACCTTGGCATGCTGCCTTGAATTGTTCATACAAGCCAATGAAAAAAATTAGGGTCGTTCGACGGATGTCGAGAAACAACATGCTCTCAGATGGAGCCTTCTCACCTACCCGGACACCCTATGTTGAACATGGTGATATTTTCTACACGAATACAAAAAAATTCGAGCAAATTCAAAAAAAAAAGTTCCATATTTTTTTCGTATTTTTCTGAAATATTTTGAAATTCCAAATTTTTTAGTGTTTTCATAAAATGTAAAAAAATAAAAATGTTCATGTTCAAAATTATGTTTGCTCTTTTTAAAATTTTTGTGTCTTGAAATTATGAGAAATTTTGAAAACACAAACATTTTGAGGAATTCATAAGATGTTCACGTTTTGAAAAATTGTTCGTAGTTTGAGAGGATGTCTGTGTTTTTAGTTTTGTTCCTGTTTTCAGAAAATGTTTGTATTTTTAAAAAAATGTTTGTAGTTTCGAAAAATATTCTCGTTTTCAATTTTGCTCCTATTTTTAAAAAAGTTTGAGATTGTGAAACATTGTTCACAAAAAGTTTGAGTTTTTAAAAATATGTTCACAAATTTTGAAAAATTTTGGGTTTCGAAAACATTTACTTTGTCAAAAAGAAATTCACATACGATTTTTTTTGAAAAAAAAAATTTAGGGGCTAGTGACGTTATGCACTCTATGAGTTTGCGTGTTAGATCCTCTTACCCTGTTTAGTATTTGTGAATTGGTGTTTAAGTGTTGCTGCTTTTGTTATTTTCTTGAAGGTTGGCACTGCAATTCAGCATTTGAGGCAGCGAGCCGAAGTGGCCAGCAATGAGAGCCATTATAGCCCTGGTCGCGAGTTTGATTCCCATCTAGGGCCTTATTTTTGTTGATTTTCCAGCGCAAATGGGCCAGCCTAGGTTAGTTGTGCCTATTTCGTATTGCGGCATAAAGGAGGTCCTCCGAACGTACGGCGTATACGAGCGATCCGTCATACGTACGAAAATGGATATGATTTATCAAATGTCTACATTGCCCTTTATAAGCTCCGTGAGGGGGGTGTACCGAAGCGGGTCTCTTAACGTGTGTGCTTGTGGAAATTGAGGATTCTTGCGGTGTCTGTCATCTGGGAGGGGAGTTGTCCTATGGATGGGGTGCCGTGCATCGCAAGCTTGTTAGCGATTTTCTAGTAGTCTGGCATGTCGATATTGGAAAACTGCATGGATATCTTATGAATATCAAACCCTCCATTGGAGGGC